CAGTCAAGGTCTTGTAGCAGCGAAATCACGTCTAGCAAAAAGAAATACTACAATCCCACGACTCGAACTGACGTCAGCACACATGGCAACGAATCTCCTTAACAACGTCAAGAATGCTTTATCAGGATTTCCAATAAGCGAACTGCACGCGTGGTTAGACAGTACTGTGGCCTTGTATTAAATTCAGAACGGCGGTGATTACAAGCAGTTCGTGGCGAATAGAGTTCGAAAAATCCAAGTGTATAATGAAATTGTTTGGCATCATGTACCAACTGGAGATAACCCTGCGGATCTTGGGAGCAGAGATGGAAGTGTGACAAACCACAACCTTTGGTGGAATGGCCCGGAGTGGGTCGCCAACCGAGAAGAATGGCCCCTGAGATTGTGATCAAATCTTCACCTGGAAGCAAAGCAGAAACGAAGATGACGAAAGAAGTCATTAACGCAGCAGTGGAACGAGTCGATGATCAATTCGATGATCTGTTGAAGAAGCACAACCTTTGGAAGGTCCTGCGAATCGGTGCATGGATCAATCGATTCCTACTGAATTGCAAAGCAAAACCTCGAGATCGACAGTTGGGTCCTCCGCGTGCCAGTGAGATAAAGATCGTGAAGAAATGGTGGATTAAACGAGTGCAGAACGAAGCGAAAAACCAACCAGTATTTGCTAAAGAAAGCCTGGAACTGAATCTTCAAGAGAACGATGAACATATCCTAGAATGTAGAGGAAGAATTCAGGGCGTCTATCCTGTATACCTACCTGACAACCATACCTTTACCGAGAAAGTAGTTGAAGATTCTCACTTGCAAACGCTCCACGGGGGAGTGACCTTAACCATGACCGACGTCCGAAACAGCTACTGGATCCCCAGATTAAGAAGATTGGTCAAGCGTATTCGAAAGAGTTGCTTCGGGTGTAAGCGAGCTCAAGCGAAGGCATATTCTGTACCGCCCCCTGGAATCCTACCAACAACAAGAACAGAAGGGGAAAATGCGTTTGAAGTTATTCGAGTGGACTTCGCGGGTCCACTTAAATATTGTACAGCTCGAAAGACTTTCAAGAAATCTTATTTGATCTTGTACACATGCAGCCTGACTCGTGGAATGTATTTGGAATTACTACCAAGCTTAGAGACGGACGAGTTTTTGAAAAGCTTTAAAACATTTATTGCAAGAAGGGGACGACCAAGACTCGTGTATTCTGATAACGGGGGAACCTTTGTGGGAGCAGCGTCCTGGCTCAGGAAAGTTATGAATGACGAGAAAATGAACGGCTACTTGACAAGGCAAGAGATCGAATGGCTGTTTAACCTTAGTCGCGCCCCATGGTGGGGCGGCCAGTTCGAGCGACCAGTGGGACTGGTCAAATCAGCTATGTACAAAGTCATTGGCGGTGGAAACCTATCTTGGAAAGAACTACAAGATGTCATCCTAGATGTCGAGGTAACCCTCAACAACCGGCCCCTTGATTACGTCGAAGACGACGTTCAACAACCTACATTAACACCCAACTCGATGTTGTTTGGACAACCGAATACTATCCCACAACTAGAGCCCCACAACATTGAAGATACAGATCTAAGAAAACGTGCAAAGTATTTGCGAAAGTGCAAGGATGCAGTTTGGCGTCGTTGGACTAAGGAATACCTAAGAGCACTACGTGAGAGACACAACCTAAAACACGGCACGAAGTTGGATACACCGAAAATTGGTGACGTTGCGATTATCAAGAATGATGAGCGGAATCGAGGGAAATGGCAACTTGGAGTTATCGTGCAACTTCTCACAGTCAAAGACGGGATTGTCAGAGGAGCGAAGTTACGAGCGGGAAAGGGTATTCTGGAGAGAGCCGTACAGCAGTTGTATCCATTAGAACTTTCGTGCAATTGTGAGAAACCAAAACCGGCATTGAGAGCCCAAGCTCCTGAGTTTCGACCAAGACGTACTGCAGCGGCTGTAGCGAGATTACGGATTCAAGACGAAGCTGAAGAGGATGAACTTGATTGACGTTCTTAGTAACTATTGGTGGTTTATTCTTATTGTTGTTGTTTGGGAATCTCCGATAGTTAACATATATATCTCAATATTTGAGTTATATAGGGGGAGTGTGTTGGAGATTAACAATATATATATATATATATATATATATATATATAGACAGTATTAACAGTTTTAGAAGCCGGAAATGCGGCGTGCGCCAACACTTCCGGTGAAACGAACACATGTTGTAAAAACATTAGTGACGAGAGCGAGCGTGCGAATGGAGATTGTTATATAGGGCGAGATATTAAACAAGTAAAAAAGGAAAGATATTGTTAACTAAACCTGTGTTTATAAAACTGTGAATTGTCGTAAACACAACAGGAGGCAATTTACGACACGCAGAAATATTTCTCAGTACGCAGATATATATATTTTCAGTACGCAGATATATCTTTTCAGTGCGCAGATATATGTTTCAGTACGCAGAAATTTTTTTTTAGTACGCAGAAATATTTCTCAGTACGCAGATATATATTTTCAGTACGCAGATATATGCGAGAGTGCACGTGCGAAATAAATTCATACGAAATCGAAGGAAATTTCCTTAGCAAAAGAGGAAGTACCGCCTAAACTTTACACGTGAGCAAGATGGCCGTGAATCAATCGAGCGCGAAGTATTGCTCCAATTGTGGATTTTCTTTAGAAAAAAACTTTTGTTTTTGCCCAAAGTGTGGAAAAGACATAATAAATAATGCCAACATCAAAGAAGATGAAAAGGTCAAGACTGAAATACCCTCCGCCAGTGCAAGTAGTAGCAGCAGATTCGCGATGCCAAGGTTTTCCTTGCCAAGCTTTCATTTTGATCTCTTTTTCTTAGGGGTTCAAATTCTATTGAACTCGTCCATAGGGGGGGGGGGGGGATGTACATTAAATGGAATGGCCCTATACATATTAGAGTGGAAATGAAATTTCAATAAAAAATGACTGGTATTAATATACGAATTCCGAATATCTTACTTTGTGAGGTAGTATTCTTTATTAACCAGAGGCAGGTTGTATAAAAAAGTGATTAAAGTTAATCATAGTTAAGTGGAAATGTCATCCAATAAGAAGCGCCTATTTGAGAGTTAATCACTATTTAACTACAAAATAGTACTTTAAAAAAGTGATTAAGAGTTTTATTATATACAACCGGCCCCAGGTGACTGCTGGCAATTCATCCTTTCAGTTCATCTTCACTGTCACTAATATACTCAATCTATCCGGATTGGCTTCGTCAAAGATGGGTAAAAGATATAAATATATCCTAGAATACCCAAATCCCAATCGCTTCTTTATACCGCTGTAAAGTGAATGGCTCTGGTGGGTCAGTGCCTGGAATAAACTCAATATCGTCGCCATCTTTGAAAACCAACATGCAGTTGCTACCATTGTCATTCTCAAAACGCCTGTTAAAATCACCATGCTTTTTAATCGCTGCTGCAAGAATTTTAACGGAATTGTTTCTCCCAAGGAAAACCTTGGAATCTGCTGCTACTACTTGCACTGGCGGAGGGTATTTCAGTCTTGACCTTTTCATCTTCTTTGGTGTTGGTATTATTTATTATGTCTTTTCCACCCTTTGGGTAAAAACAAAAGTTTTTTTTCTAAAGAAAATCCACAATTGGAGCAAAACTTCGCGCTCGACTGATTCACGGCCATCTTGCTCACGAGTAAAGTTTAGGCGGTACTTCCTCTTTTGCTAAGGAAATTTCCTTCGATTTCGTATGAATTTGTTTCGCACGTGCACTCTCGCATATATCTGCGTACTGAAAATATATATCTGCGTACTGAGAAGTGAGAAATATTTCTGCGTACTGAAAACATTTCTGCGCACTGAAAATATATTTCTTCGTACGGAAAATATATTTCTGCGTGCTGAGAAATATTTCTGCGTACCGACCGTTATCAGCAATAAGTTATTGGGTTGTTACTGGAAAGAAAACCACAAGCATTGGACAAAAGTTTTAGTTATAAATGTAACTGTCCCACTATGGAGGTGCCAGGTCAGCCGCTCCTTGCGTTATCAACAATATAGTATTGTAATTATCAATCGTTATCAGCAATAAGTTATTGGGTTGTAACCCTAACCCCCACCCTAACCATAACCTCTAACCCCCACCCCCCTAACTTCTAACCCCCACCACCTAACCCTAACCCCACCCCCTAACCCTAAAGTAAAGTTGCTGGGGTGCTGCACCCGTTCCGCACGTTATCAACAATATAGTATTGTAATTATCAACCGTTATCAGCAATAAGTTATTGGGTTGTTACTGGAAAGAAAACCACAAGCATTGGACAAAAGTTTTAGTTATAAATGTAACTGTCCCACTATGGAGGTGCCAGGTCAGCCGCTCCTTGCGTTATCAACAATATAGTATTGTAATTATCAATCGTTATCAGCAATAAGTTATTGGGTTGTAACCCTAACCCCCACCCTAACCATAACCTCTAACCCCCACCCCCCTAACTTCTAACCCCCACCACCTAACCCTAACCCCACCCCCTAACCCTAAAGTAAAGTTGCTGGGGTGCTGCACCCGTTCCGCACGTTATCAACAATATAGTATTGTAATTATCAACCGTTATCAGCAATAAGTTATTGGGTTGTTACTGGAAAGAAAACCACAAGCATTGGACAAAAGTTTTAGTTATAAATGTAACTGTCCCACTATGGAGGTGCCAGGTCAGCCGCTCCTTGCGTTATCAACAATATAGTATTGTAATTATCAATCGTTATCAGCAATAAGTTATTGGGTTGTAACCCTAACCCCCACCCTAACCATAACCTCTAACCCCCACCCCCCTAACTTCTAACCCCCACCACCTAACCCTAACCCCACCCCCTAACCCTAAAGTAAAGTTGCTGGGGTGCTGCACCCGTTCCGCACGTTATCAACAATATAGTATTGTAATTATCAACCGTTATCAGCAATAAGTTATTGGGTTGTTACTGGAAAGAAAACCACAAGCATTGGACAAAAGTTTTAGTTATAAATGTAACTGTCCCACTATGGAGGTGCCGGGTTGGCGGACTGGCAAATCCCAGCAACTTTACTTTAGGGTGGTTAGGGGGTGGGGGTTAGAAGTTAGGGTTAGGGTTACAACCCAGTAAAATACAAAACAATGGAAACTCCGAAGGAATTCATATTTTTCAATTCAACGTTTCGACTACTGTTGAGTCATCATCAGGAATGATAATTTCTGATGATGACTCAACAGTAGTCGAAACGTTGAATTAAAAAATATGAATTTCTTCGGAGTTTCCATTGTTTTGTATTTTATTAGAATACTCAGTGGTTATCGAAAATTTCAACCCAATAACTTATTGCTGATAACGGTTGATAATTACAATACTATATTGTTGATAACGCAAGGAGTGGCTGATATAACAAGTGGGCAATTTGTTTACTATCAAATAAATAATAATTAAATAATACTTTTTTGTTTACTATCAAATATGTTTGTGAAAAAGTTCATAATCTCACTGAGGAAGGCCAACGGTTTCTGAAAAGCTAAAGTACGTCGAAATCAGCGTTGGAATGGACTATATTTTCACCGGGGAAACATGAACTAAATGGATATTTACATCAACACTAAATTTCGCTCGTGCCTACAGAGCTAGTTGGATTAAAACAGATGTTAAGAAGTAAGTGAAAATGTGAATTTTGTGAATTATACTTTCATTAAAATGTTTCAGAAGGGCTGCTAATGTCAAACTACACGTGTGACACTCACACAGCTGTCAGTATACCCATATTTCAATGTTTATGTTGAAATGGCCCATCTTCTTTGAGGAATAGCTTAAAAATTAGGGTATGCTCATCACTTGAAACTAGCTTTAAATCAAAGTTTTATCTATAGTCTTTTTATTAGAATTGAAATCATTCATGGGAAAAATGTGCCAGAGGGTTGAAATTGCCCTTGTAAATGTACACTATTTTTGATATGTTTGGGTTAGTATTTTGAAAAGGTGTTCTGGAAGGAAAATATGTCTTGAACAATACTGGTTGACCATTAAATTATAACTAGTGTTATGTAAATCACAGAAAATTGAAAAAAGTCTGGTCCATACACAATATTTTGGATTCTATGAGGTCCCGAATGCGGCTTATTTCAATGTTTAATCTGTGTACCTGGAAAAACATAGAAAATGGAATAAGTCAAGAATTTGACTATGCTCATCACCCAAAACCAGGTTTTTCTAATTGCTTTTTCACCTGGGTTTGTGGCAATACTAGTTATGCGACCACGAAAAATGCGTGTGGCACTTTTTTTGGACACTGAAGGTGACAACATTTGATGTTGTTATAGTTCTGTTTTCTTTTATTTTTAGGTGATAGTATCTGTTCACATGTGTGTTGGTATCAAATTTTGCACAAGATTAAATTATTATTTCACATTCCTTTATTGAAATATCCAAATAAATGGAATATGACATCAAGCTGGAGGACTAAATCCTGTTTCCAAACTTGTTTCCAAACTTGTTTTTGTAAAAATAGAAAATAACAACTTATTATGTGTTGTTCTAATAAAAACTATTGTTTTTTATATGCATATTTAATTTTTGAAATTACATTTCATTCTTTGTTAAAATGTGTACCAGGAATACTGAAATCTTTCAGATCAGCTAATACCTTTGTAACTTATATAGCCAAGTGTTCTATCGATTTCTGTTCAGATTAAACAAATGATGGGTAAAATATTAGATTATTAGATTTTTGCAAATGAGCTTGCCTGTTTTCAAAGCGTAAAAAGCAATAAAATAAAGCAAAATTACTTATTTTCAATATAAAACCTCTGGAATGCATAGCTTAATGTTTTCCACGAAATATTACAAAGTTTTCGTTCATTAAAACGTTGTTTTATCAGCTTTAAAACCAGATAAATTCACGAAATACTCCCAAATATGTCGCCATATTGATTTTCTTCGCGCATGCTCAGACAAATTGCCCACCTGTTGATATGGTTTATATATATAGGTTATCATATAAGGGATAAGGTGATATCAGTTTTATCGCTCGAGGGATGATATCACAATTGTCACGAGCGAGCGAGGGACAATTGTGATATCGTCCCGAGAGCGATGAAACTGATATCACCGAATCCCGAGTACGATAACCTATTTATTATATACTTGTACCTTTATCAGGGTTTGACACCCAAAAGTAAACAGTTTTGAAAAAATAGGATCATTTTAGAATTCAAAACAATTCATCATTTACTGAACAAATATGATTTTAGAAAATAAATAGACCATTCATATAAATATTATACAATTTAAGTCTTTCATTTTGTATTATCGTTCTTGTTTTCTTCGATAAACTGTCGACATCAACCAACACGAACCTCGAGCCGGCCATCTTTGTTTTGACAAGGCGCGAAATTTAGCGGGACAAAAAACGATATCCGGGACAAAAAACGATATCCGGGACGATATCGTTTTTATGTCCCGCTGCTTCCTACCTGATAAAGGTACGGTGATCGCTAGATAGTATACTTCAAAATAAGGTTTCCGTTTTTATAACGTAGAAAAAACTATCCTAACTCAAAACTAAACCCTAACCCTAATACTATCCCACACCCTAACCTTAACCTAACCCTAACCTAAACCCTAACCTAACCCTAACTTATTTTAAAAATTGATATAAAAACGGAAACCTTATTTTGAAGTATACTATCTAGCAATTGCCATAAAGGTACTGAAGTATGTGATAAATGATATATTATACCGAAAGTTAAAGAACGCACTATCTAAAGAGTCTATCAAGTTCAGAATAAACTTTAAAACTTGCTGAATATTAATAACTGCGCGAATACAATTTTTAATTTCTTATCTATACCTGAGTTTTTGACGTTTTCTCCTTAAAATATTTGAGCAAGTATCCTTTGGATCGTTGAAAGTAACATACGTGTTGAAATATTTGGTTTACTTAATATTAAAATCTTCTGTAGTTCGGTACGAGCTCGCGAACGCCTACCCTGGATTCCAGAGCCTTCGACAGCCGCGCCAATCACAAAACAGAATTAGTGGTTTTAGTACAGATTCTTAATCAAAGAATCGCCCCGTTGAACCAGAGCCTTCGCGACATTTCAATTTATTATTTACTGTCGAAGGCTCTGGAATCCAGGGTAGCGAACGCCATATTGTTTCAGAATTCAGAGCGTGGTGTCCACGCGTCGCGCGTGAGGGTGGGATACTATAATATCCCACGGTGGATCTGCCGTGGGATATTATAGTATCCCACGCTGGATTGCGAAATCATGAATTTGAGTGAAATACCGTAAAAAATCACACTACCACGTGGTACAAATGCTGTTTTTTCATTGGACAATTTGAATTTGAGGTATAATATATATAGGTATATATCAACACAAAATCAACACTGCTTTTCAAATTGAGTGCTTGCGGCGCGCGACAAATGACAAAGGAATGGGGCGAGCTTAATGCAAATTGACATTTGGAAGCATTATTGGTGCATTCTACACGCCGTTTTGGGCTGCCTATGCTCGAGCTTCAACTTATTACTCGCACTTTGAAATGAAACAAATTTAATTCGTACAGGACGCTAATGAAAATAATTTGCTTTCCTTTTTATCATGAACTTCTACAAAAGTTCATTTAACTAAGAAACTTTCGCAAACAATGCATAGGAAAGACTTGAACATCAAGAACAAAGTCTATATTATTAAATACAAAGTCATACATAAACAATTGAAGCAAACTTGCCCTATACTTTAGGATTTATAATACAATATCAATTCTTATCAATGTTTACGTTTAAAAATTGCAAAAAAGTTGTACAATTTGTTACGTGAAACGATTTTCCAAGCTTTCTTGCATGTATTTTTTTATATTTTTGCCTTCTTCACTCCTGGCAAACAGCCATATTCTGAGATCAGTGATGACCACCCACTCAACACCGTTGGTGAGCGCCCGCGATAATTGATGAACTTTAGACTCCGCTAATGCTTTCGTTTCCCCGGGTGTAAATAGCCGGGGGGAATTAGTACCCTCGCACGGCGCTTCGCGCCGTCGGCTCGGGGATTAATGGAACCCAAAAGTAGTGTATTAATCTGGTAGTTTTTCAAGAATTGTGTTGAATATAACTGCAATGAATGAACTGCAATATACTTGTGGTGTTGTTGAGTAACTATAAACTTTCTCAGCTCTTTTCTTTGACTTTGATCATCATATTTGTCAGGGGGTGTATAGCCCTGCAATTCTAGAAAGGGGATGGAGCTGACTGATGGAAATTAATATAACTCGTGCATGCGTAGGAGATGAGCTCGTGGTCAATAAGTACTATTTAAAACACGAGTAGGAGTGTTTTATCAGATATAAAACGCGAGGCGCAGCCGAGCGTTTTATGTACTGTTTAATAAACGAGCAGGAGTGTTTTATTAGGTTTAGATTTTTTAGATTTTACCTAATAAAACACGACCTGCGAGTTTATTAAACGGCTTCAAACACGACTACAAATTCAATAGATATACTGCCTTATTAGTATTCTTTATATAAAAAATACTAATGAGGACACGACTACAATAGATACTGCCTTATTAGTATATTCTTTATATAAAGAATACTAATTAGAAGTGTTTTATCAGGTTTAAAGCCACTGCACGTGACATATTATGGTTGGCATGATTTGCCAATAAGCTTATGAATTATTAATGAGTGTTTGAAGTACTATTTAAAGGTACAACTCAACAATCTGACATGCATGAATATTATATTTTACATATTTGCGACACATGCATAGGAAACAAAACGGAAGCTAATTTATTCTTTGTCATGTATTCATTCACATATATTTTATGTCGCGTTTTCATTGACATAAATTTTTGCATCCTAGAACAAAATTATATGTTAGTTTCGGCCTAGCACTTACGGCCATGCAAGAACTAGGAACACCTATTGCATCGATGCGAATGAAAAAATGTCGCACTCAACTGCGCGCTTAACGAGCTTATCTATCTTATAGGTTTTCAAGATGCAAAAGTGTATCGACTATCTACATCGAAAGAGCTTCAATACTTACGGTGTTGTTCTTCTCACGTTATTCGGGTTCTTCGCTGTCGTAGTTATAAGCATCTCGGGTTCTTTAGCCCTCGATACATCATTTCATTGTTATGATAAGACCATTTCAAAGACGAAGGATGCATCTCTAATAAAGAACATCAACATAAAATGTTCCCTCGCGTATCAAGAGAAATTCCTCTTTACTCTACCTATGTATGCTATGTTCATCTTGAACTTTGGCATAGTATTTGCTTTGAGTATTATCTATTCATACTTGGTGAAACATCGTGTTGAAAAATTTTATTATCCGACCAAAAATGACGGCGATGAAAATGACGAGATGCTGCCTTCGCGAAATCTCGGCCAGAATCCACGTGGTAGTCGTGAATGTCGTTTTCCAACATTTTCCATCTATGTCGTGCATTTACTCGTCGCTCGTATAATTCCATTGTTGGTATTTGCTATATGGATATTTTACCAAGCTCATTTTCCTACGAATTTCCCCTGTCCGTTGGGTCCTGAAATGCAAGGAAAAGGCACATCCAATTTAACGTTTATTGACTGTATAAACCCCATCGGCGGAAAAAGTAAAACCTTGGTCTATATCGTTGCAACAGTGGATGTTTGTCTTGTGACATTGTCCTTTTTGGAACTTGGCTACATCGCGTGGTTGGCCTTCAATGACAGGGATTTTATGACTGACGAAGAATTTTGTACGGTGTACTTGTTGCGAACGCGAAATAGAAGTAGAAAATCCGTGAACCAAGTTAGAGACGGAATCAATCCTGATGATGCAGACGTTTTTCAAGTAGAGGATGATTTTGGTGGTCCTGAAATTTCCATGCGACCTCTTGAAGATATATTTGTTAATGTCGTCATTCAAGAAGGGAGAGAACACACGAACGCTTATCCGAGGGAATTTAAAAGGCATGAAATTTACCAGTGCCATCTCAAAACCTCGAGGACAGTTACTAAGCTTACGAGCACAGCTGATATATTTAAACCAACAAAAGACGGGGAGGCGTATCCGCGGACCATCCTTGTTATAGGGCGACCGGGAATTGGTAAGTCCATGTTAACAAAGAAATTATTACATCAATGGAAACGGCAAGAAGACGAGTTCTGGCGTGGGAAAATTGTAATCTTGCTTCAATTTCGTGCATTCTACGAAAAAAACAACGTTACTCTTCGAGAAATGTTATCCTACGGTGAAGGATTGTCACCACACGACTTTAACGCTGTGTATGAACAGACATTGTTGAACCCAACCAAAATCGTGTTGATTTTTGATGGATTCGATGAGCTTAGTGTCGACGACGAGCTTTTGGGTGCAAAGATAAAGGCAATTAATGACCTGGATGAAAAAATGCCAGTGTTTACAATTTTTAAAAAATTGTTGTGTGGTAAATTGCTATCTGGTGTCACAGTATTGACGACGTCACGACCAACGGCACAGCGTGTTTTTCAAAAGCTCAAATTTAACAGAACAGTGGAAATCTTGGGGTTTTTCGAAGAGGAAATCAAAGAATATGTTTTCAAATTTTGTAAGAATAACACTACCGGTGAACTGATTTGGAATGAAATCCAAGGATCACCCGAAATGCGCAGCCTGTGTTATATACCTGTCAATAGTTATATCGTTTGTTTAACTTTAAAGGAAAGCGTTGAAAGTGATGTGGAAAGTGAGTCACAACTTCCCGAGGGTTTGAACAGCAATATTCTAGGAACTATAACTGAACTGTACAAAAGAGCAGTAAAAGTCTTACTATATCGACACCATCCAGAATACAAATTAAAACCAAGGCCGAATGATTACCTCATCAGCCCTTTTCCCAAAGAACTGGCGAATGAATTGGTAAAGCTGAAGGAAGTTGCAGAAAGTGGAATTAGCCAACACAAGTTAATTTTTGAGAAACCCACGGATGATGAATTTCGAACACTGGCCAATAGTGGCTTCTTCTATCAATTACCAGACAAACGACGGAACTTGTTTTGCTTTCTACATTTAACACTGCAGGAGTTTCTTGCGGCCTCAAAGGTGGTTGATGATATGGACAAAGTTGCACAATTTTTGGATGATCATGTTAAAGATCCCAAGTGGCATTTGGTGATACAGTTTGTAGCTGGTTTAGTTGGAGATAAAATTAGAGAAGATCCAAAAGAATATAAGAGCCAAAAGGTCTTTGCTGATATTCAGAAAAGGTATTATATTTTCCGTATAGTATACCGTATATCACTACAAATCTGTACGAACCAAAGTCAGATTTGAGATTTTTAGTCTAGGCAGACTTGTTCTAGTCTGAGGCGAAGTTAAAAACCGGGACCAAAAAGGGGGTGTCTTAATATTCGATCGAATCCTTGTTTGTGGATTTGAGATGATATTTATTACATACTCCTAATTTATAAGTCATTTTTGCCTAACAATCTTCTCTTAAACAGTAAAATTGTCTGATGTTAGTTCAGAGAATAAAATACAGCAATGCGCATTAGGGCACATCACGTATGGCTAGGGTACAGTATGTCAAAGAATAAAGGAGTTCCTTCTTGTTGAGTAAAATAATAAAGTTGTGAGCATTTTCTCGCACGTCGATCTTGTATCCAAAAATGTTAAGGAGCCCTTTTGAGCTGGGAACCCGAGCCAAAATGCCCCTGCTCTCGGTGGCACTGGTCATGCATCTGCTGCATGATAGCTCATCATAGTCGTATTGCCGGCTGGTAGCCGTGATGTATTGTAGTATATTATACTGTACTGTGCTGTACTATACTATGCTATACTATACTATACTATACCATACCATACCATACCATACCAGACCAGATCATGCCATACCATACCATACCACACCATACCATACCATACCATACCATACCATACCATACCATACCATACCATACCATACCATACCATACCATACCATACCATACCATACCATACCATACCATACCATACCACACCACACCACACCATACCATACCATACCATACCATACCATACCATACCATACCATACCATACCATACCATACCATACCATACCATACCATACCATACCATACTATACTATACTATACTATACAAAACTATACTATACTGTTTCCCCGGCGGGAAACATTGCATTTATCTGAAGTCACCTGATCACAAATCAGCCAATCACGTTTGGTGTTCACGCTAGCTATATAACAATTTATATTAAAAATAAATGGTATTTTAAGTCACCGATCTTTTCGAAATCTTTTTCTGTAGTTGTTAAAGGCTCAGTGTCACCTGTTGAGCGATGTTATTTAATTGCTAAAATTTACTGATTCAAACTGGACCATGTGCGCATCCTCAGCAGTTAATTTTAGCAATTTATAAATAACATCGCTCAACATGTACACTGAGCCTTTGAATAAGCGTTTGCTTCAAGAACCTTTCCATGCAAGGTTAAATTCCCGATTATCTCTTTTTTAACGTAGCCAAATTTGAAAAAAATACTATAGTTCTTTCTGATAAAATTAAATTATAGTAAAAAAAAGATGGAATGTTTTAAAATTGTACACACAGTAATATGGGTTTTCTAATCTGTTTAGACTTGAGGAATGGGCCTTTTTATTGGGAACTACAAATGAAATTGCTTTACTTGGCATAAAGTGTTTGTATGAATTGCAAGATATTGATATCATGAAATCAGTTTCCAGTAAATTTTTGGCAGAAGGAGATGGAAAGCTGGCTTTATGGCACCTAGATATTGCAGCAATTGATTCTACAGCATTGTTCATGTTTTTGTGTAATAGCAAGAATTTAAAACAACTCGTTTTTTCTTATTGCACAATACAGGACAACTGCAGCTACCATTTGAAGTTGTTGTTGAACACTGCAGGTAACACTATTACCTTTTTTAATTGGAGTTTGGGAGATTTAGGAGATGTAGCTGTTAAATATCTTAGTGAAGCTTTAAAAAGTGAAAATTGTAAACTTGTTGCGTTGTGCCTCGATCGCAATAACATAAAAGATCAAGATGTTAGATATCTTAGTGAGGCTTTAAAAAGTGAAAATTGTAAACTTACTGAATTGTATCTCGGTCGTAATAAAATAACAGATCAAGCTGTTCAATATCTTAGTGAAGCTTTAAAAAGTGAAAATTGTAACCTTACTGAATTGCAACTTGTTCGTAATGATATAACACATCAAGGTGTTAAATATCTTAGTGAAACTTTACAAAGTGAAAATTGTGAACTTACTGCATTGGTTCTCGAACGTAATGAAATAACAGATCAAGCTGTTAAATATCTTAGTGAAGCTTTAAAAAGTGAAAATTGTAAACTTACTGAATTGAATCTCGGTGATAATGAAATAACAGATCAAGCTGTTAAATATCTTAGTGAAGCTTTAAAAAGTGAAAATTGTAAACTTGTTGTGTTGTGCCTCCATTGCAATAACATAAAATATGAAGGTGCTAGATATCTTAGTGAAGCTTTAAAAAGTGAAAATTGTAAATTTACTAAATTGAGCCTCTATGGTAATAAAATAACAGATCAAGGTTTGGGGTATCTCAGTGAAGCCTTAAAACGTGATAATTGTAAACTTACTGAATTGCAACTCCGTCGTAATGAAATAACAGATCGAGGTGTTGAATATCTTAGTGAAGCTTTAAACAGTGAAAATTGTGAACTTGCTGAATTGGACCTCAGTTATAATGAAATAAAAGATCAAGGTGTTGAATATCTTAGTGAAGCTTTAAAAAGTAAAAATTGTAGACTTATTAAATTGCAACTCCGTGGTAATAAAATAACAGATCAAGGGGTTGAATATCTTCGTGAAGCATTGAAAAGTGAAAATTGTGAACTTACCGAATTGGACCTCAGTGGTAATGGAATACGAGATCAAGCTGTTGACTATATGAGTGAAGCTTGTAAAGTAAAATTTGCATACTTACCAAATTGAACCTCGGTAAGAATAAAATAGCATATCAAGGTTTTGAATATCTTAGTGAAGCTTTAAAAGGTAGAAATATTGAATTCTATAAGCTTTAAAAATTATTTATTTTAACCTCGATGACATTAAATAACGGAACAAAGTCTTAAATATTTAGTTGATGCTTTGAAAAGTAAAAATTGTAAACTCACTAGGTTGTATATGAGAGAATGGGATACTGAAAGGTTCGGAGCTTAAGATTACAACTTCTAAAGAATTGAGTCACGTAGCAGAGAAGTGGAATATAAAGATTTATGTTGTTTCGTAAAGTGGCTATCACCCAAAATGGATTATATTCCCTATTGATTGTACATCATTGTCACATGATAAAATATTTGTTGATTTGAACAATTTTATTTAAAGTTATCCGGAATTTTATCCACGAGGATTAAAATTATCGTGTGAGGAAGTTTAAGTTTTAAAGTGGCGGAAAATATAGTTGGTTCAGTGTTTTACAGCCACGAGTACATTGAAATTCCTCTTGTTACATAATTGAAGTGCAAAACCTTTAACTCAAGAATTTCTCATTCGACTTCAGAGATATCTGGATATTAGTCTATTTACCTGATATTGATTCTGAAATGATTGACTTATGGGTGATAGCCACTTTAAACTTCAATCCCATAAGCCGGGAGTTGGGAACTTGACCCTATACAGAGCTCTCACCCCATGGTGATCCCACGTGGTTAAATTCTGAATACTAATGAAGGTATTGACCACTGATCTTAAAACTAGACTGGATAGAGCAACTTTTTGAATTCAGAGAATTAATTTTGAAACTGGAATATTTATAATGAGAAAAGATTTTTAAATCTGTCACATTCCTTACGAATAAAATCGTTACGTGTTTAAATTAGTTTCGTTCCAAGCAAATGTCTTCTTCTACGTAACTTGAAAGATATAGCCACACTTCTTCTAATGAGTTTGTTTAGATCGTTTTAAACACGTGATAATGAGATTTGAGGCGTGAAGGAACCGTCAGAGGCCACTAATAACCAATTTCTCTCTAGGCAATATTTTTTATTTTTACCAATCACCAGAAACTTTAAGAACGTCTTCTAGCATGTCACCAACACCACTGTAGATTTGCTATGGTCACATCAATATGGCCGTCGTTGGCTTCATTTATGCATGTGGATGCTCTATCCAGTCTGGTTTTGAGATCAGCGGTATTGGCTCAAGTTGTAAAATAGTGTATGCATTGTATGCATTAGTAAATTTAGTAGCATAATTTTTGCCATAAGCAGGAACGTCGCGAATTAGGGGGTGTAACACTTAGGTGGATGTTTATTCTAAAATTTTACGTTAAATTTGAATAAAAATATATGCGGTGTTTTGGAATGATAACTTGTTCAAAAAGTATTTGAAAGAAACGCAATTCAATCATTTACAATTTCGTTTCGAAAAATACTAAAAATACAGTGTTAGAGTTTCGAAAATTACAAAAAAATCCTTTGGGTCCCACAATCAGCCACCGCTTGACCATTTCCACACCTGAGGTCTGTTTCATACTAGTGTCTGTATTTAAATTCGTACAAGATGTTTCATTCATCTGTCAGTCAGATAGAAAAAAAGTCTATTGTGCATTTTGTTTTCATACGACATACTGGTCGCCCAGTCGAAACAAATGTGCTATGTCTTAATGTTTGATTCTGTTTAATAGCAAGGCATGTTATACAATATTACTTTCACGTTTGGAATGAAATAGAGCTTTGCTCAATGAATTTAATAGCAAATTTGTCTGAATTTTGATCCAAAGTATGAACCAAGCCTCTGAAACGTAATTGCAATGTGAATGATATAATTGTCAATGAAAATGTATGTGTGTTACACTACATGACTGCGTTCGTGAAGTAAATCCTCTATTAAGCCCCAATTTATTTATGGCACGTTTGAGGGGATGTTTATTGGAGAGGGAGGTATAATAGAAAGGGGGGACTTATGATCATGATTTAGATATCTAAACGTGGTAACCTAAAATCTAACATAAACGTCCAGGATAATTTGTCTATAAATCTATTCGGTGAACATGTGTTTATATATGAAGGGGATGGGGGAGGGTCGCTTGTATTGGAGAAAAAAGTACTACTAATTGATGTATTTATATGTGACTTATTAGAGATTGATCATTGGAGGGAAGCTTTTTTAGGAGGTGGGGGGTGGGGGGGGGGGTCTTAATAGAGGATTTGCGGTAACACACAACCCGAGTTTCGCGACGTCCCTTGCTGAATGTTTGTATATAGTATACTTTGCATTAGAAATCTAGTCTTAGGAGAAAAATGCAGAAATAGATATTTTAAATTGACAGCATATACTTTGCTTGTATTTAAATTTGCGTGGTTCTAATTTTCGCTCAGTCTTAAATTCGTGCGATTTAGTTTCGCACACCCGAAAAAGGCGAAATGTGATATTTTAGTGCAGATTTAACTTAATCTGCGCGCTTGATTAAAACGGTACTAACCGAGAAAAAGAACACGTGAATGATAGTTTTCAGTCCGTGCTAAAATGACTGGGAACCTCAATTTTTTACGAAAGTACAATTGTTACTGATTTTCGAGAAACCTGGAGTCGGTTGTATAAAAAGATAGTTAAAGTTTACTGCATTTAGTTGCATTTAGTGCGAAAGTTTATGAATCAAAACAGTAGTTGAACACAAGTTAAGAATTTTATACAACTGTCTCAGATCAGAAAAAATAAGCCAAGCAGCAAGAGAAAACTAACCAAGACACTTTAACAAAACTCACTAATACCATGCAAATATCTGTTTTACATAACGTCGATCGTACAGAATAATTTCTAACGGTTTGCATTTTGTGTTTCTGCGGCAATCATTTACTGACACAGATTATTATTTGTGCGTATCAGATGGCAAACCTATTTTTCAACTTCGATCCTTCTGGAAAGTACGACATTTTGGCTTTTTATGCATGTGACTTTAGTTCAATCCAAGCGTCTCGATCACGAAAACGAGGCTCTATCACTGAGCTCCATATATATCTGGAGTGGGAACTTGGTTGCTCAGAGTGAAGCCAGTTTCGTGTTTCCGCCATCTTGGCAAGGAGTGTGTTGAAATTTCGCATTTTGACTTCGATTTAAAGAATAATATTGTGATTTTATGAACTGAAAACTTGATTAGTGATACGGTCCATTAGAAAAAAATGGAATTAGCTTGGGAAAATGGTCTAAAAACTGTTTACGACCTTCAGAGCTATTGGATGTCAATGGCCGCCATCTTGGCTTCACTTTTCTCATTGACCGAATGACTGAAGTTCTTACTCCAGGTATATATAGAGTTCAGTGGGCTCTATAGCCATAGTGACGTACTTCTCGCGGAAGGGTGTATTCTGATGCTATGACGCGAATTTAAATACAACTATAGGTATATATTGATATCTTTAAAGTAATTTACACGAGAGATCTTTGAATGCATGTAATCTTATCAATAGTATTTGCTTTGTAGAGAATAGAAGCAAAAATATATTTTTGAGATAGTTATTTTCAAATGACAGTTTGAACTTTTTCATGTACTTTTAATCGTATATACAATACATTAACTTGTTAAGTGCTTTTTATCGAAGTACAATAAATTAAATCATAATTGTTTGTAAAAAGTAAAAACTTCAAATATATTTTGTCGTCCTTACTGCGTCCACTATAATAGTGCTAGACAATAAAAGATCGCATAAAAGAACCACTTTTATTGTTTGCCAGTTGAAGTTGTTCTTATATATAATGGGTATACTTTCCATTTAATGGCCAGACCTGTCAGACCGGAATTTCTGTCTCCATATAATGGGAAGATCTGGCGCAGGTTTCTCAGTCGAACATCTAGCGAAAATGGACCGCCTAACCTAATCCACATTTGCCGGTCAGATTCGTGCGAAGCCCAAACCTTGGGTTTCATTCAACAATTTGACCAGTCTGGCCGAGTTAATAGAAAGCGTCCTTAGTGAGAAATTAAGTTAAGTTGGTTCTGAATTGATTTTTATATGACACCAACAGTTGCTGCTTGAAAGGCTTCCAATCTTCATTGAGCAGTGCTTGTTTTACAGTGCATGGGGCTTCCATGGGTCATGAGATTAAGGTTGGGCTCAGTCTGACACTAAAGTTGGGCCAAATGCCCCAGTATATATGTTGTAATACGCCTTGTCATTGATTACCAACAACAGAATGTTTTTGTAAGATCTTTTAACAACCGGACTGATGCATTTGTCATCCTGCTAATTTTTTAGATGCTTATATTAATTGCTTGAATATCAGGTCGATGGTTCTTAATCCACTGGTTCTTTTATGCGATTTAGACGGCAGGCTAAAACCTGAAAAGGTGCAACAAAATGTTTGATATGATGGCATTTTTGTTTGATGGCATTTTTGTTACGATCTGCCAATTGACATTTTCACAGAACATAGCCACAGGCATTAATGAAGAAGACTATAGGTATGTTGGCAACTCTGATTTTGTTTTATAGATGAAAATTTGAGTATTTCAAAATTTTGCCTATGAAAGTACTATGATGACCAAATGCAATATTTCCAGTTCACTTAAGTCTTAAATAGTTGCTATTTTGCTAACTTTGAGCTCCCTTAACCCAAAACCCCCTTGGAAATTCGCACTACTCGCTTAAATATCTCGTACATAGTTTTTTGCGATCTTTTCTAATGGCACAGTTCAGTTTTGTGAAAAGTAAACCCGAAATTCCGCATTCTTAGCCAAAATCAGAGGTGCCAGCATTGTTTGAGCTATGTTCACCATTGCTGTTCACCATTGTATAAGCTATAAGAAAATTGGGGTTGACAGCTCGCAACAAAAAATGCCATCAAAGTGTACCTTTCATTCTGTTGGCCGGTCGTCTAATTGGGTCTTCTATTATTCGTATTGTTCTTATATTAGAGTGGTTCAGATTTGACTACCATTACCCCTACCTCTCACAGACTTAACTCGTATTTGATTGGTTAATTGGGTAGATTAAATGCATGTGATTGGTTAATGATATTACGGTAGTGGCAGTGGAAGTCAAAATCTGAACCTGGGTATAGTAGGGGTTCTCTGAGTTTTTTGAGGAGAACGCGTTTCAAATTACGTCACACTGATCGAGCTACCGAGCGAGATGCACCCATGCAAAAACTCAATATTTACCCATACCTTATACTGGCATCACACACTCTATATATACAAGAACTTGTGGTTAGAGCTTGACAACTGGACTCTGTAGCTCAGTTGGTTGGAGGCTTAGAGAGCTGCACCAGAATCTCAGGGCCGCATGCAGGTTTGATTCCTGCCAGAAGGCCTAGAGCACTGAACTATAAACAGGGACGCCGGAACGATGCATGTGAAGGCAAGGGGGGGGCAGATTTTTGTGATAGGGCACTTTTGAATTGATATATACTAAGAGATGTTTGGAAAACATCGCGAGTTGAACTTCGTCTAATCATGTTTTCTATTTATTGGATGATAGGGTGTGAGGGGGTTCTCCGCCAGGCGATTGTGCTATTCTTGAAGCTCGATGACTGCATTTCTTGCATTTTCTGTAGCAAATTCGTAAAAAATTTGCACTAACATTTCTGACAATTCGCTATTTCGCCAAGGCAATCCCTTAAATTGAAAGGACACCTTTGCCCCCCTTGCCCATCCTGGTAAAGGGCAACGGGGGAGGCTATCCCTCCTGCCCCCCCCCCCCCGGTTACGGCGTCCCTGATTATAAATAAACTGGAAGGCTAACTCAGGGGGAGAAATTGAAGCCAGTGCATTTTAGTTTTTCTGAGTTATGATACGGGTAATATTCGCTTCACAGTCGGGCAATATTGGCTTATTATAAAAATAAATGCGACAAATTCTGTCAATTTTGTGGGAAATTCGGTCAATTTTGGAAAGTTTTTCCGGAAAATTTGTTTTGCCAACTCGGGCACAATCCGAAAAAGTCGGGCAAATTTCTTTCCGCCCCGTACGCCCATGATACTCAACATTGAACGTTGGACTATATATCAAATTGAAGCTATTGAAAAGCGCTATTTGGTGTAGAAATTTCAAGACTTTGAAAAACTACAAAAATAATTGCCGATAATTTGCCATTTTGCAGTTGTTTTTGTATTTTTTAAATATTTTTCTTTTCGCTGAAGTCTTGAAATTTCCACACCGAATAGCAATTTTCAATAGCTTCAATTTGATATATAACCCAATGTTTGGGGTCAAGTATTTCTGCTCATAACTCTTTTGAAAAACTATTTTGGCTTCATCAAATGATAGGCCTTCATCATAGCAGTTAGTCTTCCAGTTTATTTATAGTTCAATGGCCTAGAGTTGCATTTTCCGCAGCGGCTCTTGGTTAGGTCTAAAGGTCCAGACACACCGGACGCGATTCGACAACGCGACGCGATTTTTCGATTTTCACTGACCGATAACTTTGATTCTAGTTTAAATTTTCCAAATATTTAGAAGCGGTATAACATTTTGAGTTATTTGGTCTACATATCTTTCAAAATTTGCTCTCATTGGCTGTTTTATTAACTAAAAAATCGCGTCGCGTTGTCGAATCGCGTCCGGTGTGTCTGGATCTTAAAGCCGGTTTTCCACTAGCGAATTTTTTCGCGCGAAGCGACCTTTTCCCTTTGTCGGCATCACTTATTACGTCAGCAAGACCTTGCAAAATGGATGCCGACAAAGGAAAAAGGTCGCTTCGCGCGAAAACATTTGCTAGTGGAAAACCGGCTTAAAGTCGCAGTCATTAGAGCAAGCGCCTTTCACGTCTGAGTTCGTGGGTTCGATTCTCGCTACGGACTCATGTGAAAAGAGTCAGTCAACGCTCTGCCGAAAGCCGTGGGTTTTCTCCGGGTGCTCCGGTTTCCTCCCACGGGGAAAGTTGACAGGGTTGGTTAGGATAAATACAGTTAAGAAAGTTAATATCACAATTGTTGTAAAGATAAAATAATCTAGGCTAAGTATGTAATTAGTTAAGGGTATAATACTTGATGTAAAGCGCATTTGATGATATCCTGGCATGTAGATTTGCGCTATAGAAGCTGCTAATCGCAATCGTAAGAAAATTGTATGTAATTTTCCGCGCGAAATAACCCTTCAACTGTTAGTTCTATTGAGCAAAATGCCCAAAAATCTCGGTGATGCCAACCGTCACAGAATGTGTGGGAGGAGAAAAAAGTCGCAAAAAAATCGTTGCGTATTTTTCAGGTCTGAACAACGTGAAGATCGAACACTGTTGAACATTGATACAGACTAGAGACTCTCTCTTCCGCAGAGGCTTTTGTTGACTTTGCATGATTACGATTAGTAGTGAGATACACAGAGGCGTAGCCAGGATTTTCGGTCAGAGGGCGCCGGCAAAAATCCAGGTGGGGCCAAGCCGCCAGTGACTCGAGACGCAAAGTTCGCGCAAGAAAAAATTTTGCGGACCACAGAACATTTTAAATCTCCCCCCTCCCCTCCCACCGTCGACAAATTTGTCGGTAAAAAATTTTTCTGGACAATAACATTACAATTGCTTTCGTAGCACTTTTCCAGATTTCCGTAACACTTTTTCCGATGCTTCACCACGAAGATTCCGACAACATTAGAGAGTTTGAGCAAGAGAACGAAGTCGGACGACGACGACGTGGACCGTGGTTGACAATTTTTGCCTGTCTTGCACATTATCTTACGCATTCTGAATTTAGGGTCAGGCGTGAAGACAGATTAGAGATTTATGTCTAGCTGTTTATGAATGCTGACCCAAATCCTTACCCTGATCAGGACAAAACAGCGAGACATGAATCCATATCTCGTCTTCGTTCTTCTGCCTTCGTTCACAACGAAAACTTCGCAAATATTTTGGCAAAATTCGCGGTGAACTTCGTTCCGAACGAAGGAAGAAGGACAAAGATGGGATATAGTTTCATGTCTCGCTGTTATTTTCTGGGTCAGGGCAAGAATTAGGGTCAGTGTATGCATAAACAGCGACACATGGGAAGACGCGCTGAGCAACCACCAGTGACGTCCAACTCAGCATGCGTAAGATAATGTGTAGACGCCAGACGGCAAACATTGGCAAGTACGCCATCGTCTTCGTACTTCGTTGTCTTGCTCAAGCTCTCTATTGACAATTCCGACGGGTCTTAATTTTCAGACGGGTCTCCCACCACCCTCCCCTCCGGCCAAGGCGCCACTGCCGATCCCGCATTAAAAATTCACTTGTAAACAGATTGGTTTAAACTTCATCAAACCCTCATTTAATACATATTGAAATAATTAGGGTTAGAAAAGGTATGTGTTTCAAGCTGTGTGCCGCAAATAAGCGAACAAGTGATTTTAGGTTTCACACCGATGCCCAGCAAAGCATATATTCTACAGAATTTTTGCATTATTGACAGCATGATGCTATATAATTAAGGATTCCCTTTTTTATACAATACATTTTATCAAGGGCCCCCCAAAATTTTGCCAGGGGGGGCCCAAAATTTTGCCAGGGGGGGCCGGGCCCCCCGGCCCCAGCCCTGGCTACGCCTCTGGCGATACATTTCACTACACTTTACTGTTTACATGGCGGATCTTGGAACACGAGCGGAGCCGCTGGGACTAGAGACAATTTACAATTTCATTCAGTATTTTGACTTTGTACGTCAGTTGCTGAAGGGTATAGGGGGTTGTTCATGAGTAATTTTAGGTAAATTTCCAGGTGATTCTTTCTGTTTTTCAGCTAAAAAGAAAATACTTAAGACTTAGCTCCGTATCCGATTGTGCTAATATTTTTTTCAAAGACACATCTGCTGCTTTCAAAAACTCATTTATATCATAATAAGTTAATAACAAAGAGATGGCGTCTTCCCATACTGTTGCTTTGTTGTTTTGCTATAAAATGCTTTACGCTCGTTGACAAGGTGATAAAGCATGAAATCATTATACAACAGCACGGGACGGACAACTCTTCCCCCGTGGTGTATGTCACCATCCCACGCGCGTGAGATATATGTGACTCAACAAATTCTATTTTTTGCCCAGGTAGTACTAAACTGTTGCTGTTAGAACCATAAATCGTCAAAGAAAGTTTATAACAGTGAGTCTTTTTAGGTTTTCTTAGTTTTTAATACTAAAAATCTTGACGAAAAATGAATTGAAAAAACCAGGCGAAAAAACCTGGAAAAGTTAATGACGTCATTGTTTGATTGTAGCACTGACTCAGCATACCGCAGGCGCAAACAAACTAAAACTTAAACTTCCATCCGCCATCGAATCTTGTAAGAAAATGTTGAAATAGTTTCTGTTTTTACTTCAAATCCTTCGAAGAAATCATGTCTGGGGGAACTTTTCAAGTAAGTAAAGCGAATACATTATTAGACCAATAAGTATTTGAAAATTTAGTGGATAAGTTTTCCCGAACGAATGTCATACTGTGTTTTGATACAATTCACATTCGGGGTTGTGCTTCTAATGTGTCAAGTGTTTTGTCCATTTTGTAGAAAGCTATCGAGATTGTCACTAAAGCTACAGAAGAAGATAAAGCAGGGAATTTTGAGGAAGCTTTAAGGCTCTATGAACATGGGGTGGAATATTTTTTACATGCAATTAAATGTGAGTGATGCATGTTTTCATCATTGCCATTTACCAATGATTAAAATGGCTAAGTCATGTTGGCCAATTAAAAAAAAGATCATCAGAAATAGTTTAACTTATTAAGCATTAGTAATATTACTCTGTTGAACACCATACAACTTTACTTGTCAAGGTAAAGATGTTACGTGTTATTAGGTTTAACCCATTGAGCACTAGTACTTCCCCCATTGACAAGTAAAGTCGTCTGATGTCAGACAGAGTAAAATAATAAAGTAGGGTGCATTAGGATGAAATGCAACTTAATGGGTTAATATGTTTTTATGCATGCGAGCAAAATTCAAAATATGCCTGCAAAAATACATATTTTAAATTTTGTGACCTATTAAGTATTGTAGATTTAATATAACGGTCAACAATCGGCTATTTGCCGAACAAAAACACTAAATGGTTGATTAATCTTATTCCTGCACTGACACTTTGAATGAGCAAATAAAATACACAGTTTTCATTTAAATGAAAGTTATATTATTTGACTAGCTCTCACGTTCATAGCTTTATGAAAGTGAGAAAAGGAACACAAAAGGTTTTCTTGGCTTTGCTGTGACAAGCAACAAAATAACATCACAAGCTTATGGTACCAGACATGCAGAAAATTTCAAAACACAATATGCAATGGATCGTTGGGACTGCTTGCCAAAAATTAAGTAATGTGATTGATCATGCAGGAAGTGATCGGCACAAGCTGTCAAATTGATAGCTTGTCAATTGAATGTAAATTTTGAAAAGCTGGCCGATCATTGTTAGCCAATGTTCGAGCAACTGCACAGTTGATCGGACATTTTTCAGACTGAAGCTAAATTGTCATAATCCTCACTAGACCTAAGTATTGTGAAAATGTCAGTATTTCAACCCATTGCATGATTCAACCAAAAAAGCGTAACCGCTGCCACACCATGATTCACACTGATTTTTAATTTTAAAATGCATTTACCATGTTCCGAGCTAGTGTGCTTACGAGAGGCATTCACCCCCCCTGAACATCCAACATTTTTAATATTTTCAGGGGGGTGCATGCCACTTGTAAGTACACTGGCTAGGAATATGGTGGCGTCATGCAACGGTTATGCCAAAGTCATAGGCAAAACCAAGATGATCATGATATCTTTTGTGTGTGTTTTAATGTTATGTAATCAGGTGAATATAATGTTTCTGATGTTACTCTGAGTGTACAGTATATCCACACAGGGCAGGCTAAAAAGTTTGCCTGACCACATTGGATTAGTATCCCAAAGGTTGCGGGTTTGATTCCCACTGTGGTCATGCCCGGTGTGGATATACACTCAGAGTAACATCAGAAACATTATATTCACCAGAGTACATAATGCTCAAAACACACACAAAAATATTATGATCATAAAAATACATTGGTATCAAAGGTACTAGATTTTGTTCTGAAATACCACACCCTTGAACCGACTTGACCTTGTAGCTCAGTTGGCAGAGCATTGGACTATTATCCAAAAGTTTGAAGGTTTAATTCCCACCATGGTCAGGCAAACTTTTCAGCCTGCCCGGGGGGATATACACTCAGAAATTATATTCACCTGAGTTCCGGTACATAACATGGTCGGAGAAAACAGACGGTGCTAGAGCCTCAGTAAGGATTGTTTTGGTTGATTACCAAAAAGCTTTCGATTATGTAGACCACACCATCGTCCTATCTAAACTGAAATCCCTCGAAATCCCTGATTCCACTGTTAGTTGGATTGCAGATTTCCTGAGTGACAGACAACAACGAACCAAATTGGGACACGACTGTTTTTCGGAGTGGGGGAATGTCCCAGCTGGTGTCCCTCAAGGAACCAAGCTGGGTCCGTGGTTATTTATATTGATGATAAACGATCTAAAAACACGTTGTTTAGACGAGGTAAAATTCGTAGACGATCTAACGGTATACGAAACAGTAACCAGATTTGGTTCAAGTGATATCCAACATGCAGTGTCCGAAATTGAAGAGTGGTCCGAGTCAAACCTTTTCAGATTGAATGAAAACAAATGCAAAGAAGTGCGGATAGACTTTGCGAAAAATAGAAATCCCTTTCCTCCTATTAAAATTAATGGTAAACCCTTACAAGTGGTGGAAGAAGCAAAATTACTGGGTCTTACTATCGCGAACAATTTGAAGTGGAATAGTCATGTCAATAACATAGTGACAAAAGTTCCAAAAGGATTTACCTTTTAGTGCAGCTGAAACGAGCAAAAGTCGCAATTCAAGATGTTTTACAATTCTATACCGTATGTATCCGCCCCATTCTGGAATACGCTTCCACTGTTTTCCACTACTCTTTACCTAAATACTTGAGTGATGAAATTGAACGAGTACAAAAACGGGTTCTTCGAATTGTGTATCTGAACTTAAATTACGAAGATGCATTGATGGAAGCTGGGATGGAGTCATTGTACGCTAGAAGGCAAATTGCCTGCAATAAACTTTTTAATCAAATTTTAAATAACCCGAACCATAAACTTCATAATTTAATCCCTAAAATAGATACTTCATTAAATTATCAATTACGAAACAACAAGAAGATACATGTTCCGAAATTCTATACTGAACGTTTTAAGAATTCGTATGTTATCGCTAGTTGTTTAGACATAAATAATCGTAATTCAACAAATTAGTGTTAGTTTTAATATTTATAATCTTCTTAGTAAGCCATAGCATAGGTTGTAATTTTTTAAATGTAATATAATTTGTATTCAGTCTTATTTATATTGTAATCGCTTACCAATTCAGTATTTGTACTGCAAAAAGTGAATTATTAAACAATCTATCTATCTATCTATCAAAACACACACAAAAATATCATAGCCTAATAACTGATACCATCCACCATCTCTTATTTGTACTCTTAGATGAAGCCCAAGGAGACAAATCAAAGGAAAGTATCAGAGCAAAATGCATGCAATACTTGGAAAGAGCTGAGAAATTAAAAAATTATATTAAAAAGGGAACGAAAAAACCAATGGCAACATCTGGTTCTGGAAGTAAAGTGTAAGTTAAATCTCATTGTGAGGAGTATTTTTACCAGTATAGGCTGTTGCAGTATTGGAACCAACATAGAAGGAAAATACAGATAGTATTAAAGAGTTGCATGAGTTGTGAAATCCCTAGAAAAAGACTTACAAAAAGTTAAGTGTGCTTTATGTTGGAGTAGATGGATAATCCAAGTGACAATATATATAGACTTTTTATACCTAACCAGGAACGGTTGCGACAAATGCAACACTAGGTCACAGAATAGAGACTATACAAAAGGCTGACTTCTTGGTTTTTCCTATGATTTTGGCGTAACCATAATTCATCATCAAAATGCTGATGTCATTGTCCTAGCCAGTCCACTTATAAGAGGCACAATGGCAGGTGTCCAGGGGGTGCAAGTTTCAGAATTCAACCCAAGTAAAACCATAGTAAAATGTAGAAGTGTTATTTTGTATTTTGTCGGGTTTTGTGATGTAATAGCACTGTAAGCATGTAGGTAAATCTTATATATTAAAATAAGAAATGATCAGCGAGTGTATAAGCAAGCTTTTAGGAACATGTGTCAAATGAAAAATGATAATATAACATTGAATGTCTTCAGGAGCAGGGGGAAATGCCTCTCATAAGCACACTGGCTAGGACCGTGGCATCAGCATTTTGATGACGGATCATGGCATGGCAGCGGTTACGCCTTTTTGGCTGAGTTGGCCTTCTGTGTGCCATTATTCTGTGACAGGAATTGAACCCGTGGCAGTGTCCCAGGGGACCTAGTGTTGCATTTTCCACAACAATTCCTGGTTAGGTATAAAATTTTTGAAAATCGAAAATTCTCTGCAGATTACAGTATATTGATTACATTAAGTAATTTGAAACTCGGATGCTGTAATTGTGTGACACTAACAAGTTGTCAAACTGTATGTCATGCTATTAACCCATTGGGTGCCAGTGCTCCGTCCCCCTTGAGAAATACAGTAAAATTGCTTGGCATTAGACAGAGTTAAATAATAAAGTAGGGTGCAATGCCACTGAATGGGTTAAATAGTTCCACCTTCAAATAAGTGCCTCAGTTTAACATTTGAAACAACATGGCAGTAAAACTGAAAATTGTTTGATAATTCAAACTAAAACAACTAAAGTATATTGCAATTGTGAAGCAGCCTCAAAAAATTATTCATTGGTTTTACATTCAAAATGAGTATATTTCAATATTCCTCATTCAATTCTCTCCACAATTTTGGAAATGCTCAGTTTTATTGTGAAAGACTATCACACTCAAATAAGTGCGACGTCTGAAACACTAAACATTTGGGGATCATTCTTTTAAGCCGCGTTCACACTAGCGGCCCAGGCCTGGCCTGGACCTGGCCTGGGTCTAGGTGTGAATGGGTTTTACCTGGCCTGAGCCTGGCCTAGGCCTGGCCTAAGTCAAGAAATCCAGTCCAGCAAATGTAGGTGGCCTGGACCTGGCCTTGGCCTGGCCTGGGCCTCGATCATCACTGGTGTGAATGGGTTTTTCCTGGGCCTGGCCTGGGCGAGGCCCCGTTACCATCGCAATATCTGCCCACGATAAAAACTGGTCAGATGATTGTCATACAATTGGAGGGAAAAACATTCAAAGCACAAAATTAAATACTTTAGTGGAACACAAGGACGTTTATATTGACGCCTGATTGCTTTGGCCTGGAGTTGGGCGTCAAGCCAGTGTGAATGCGTCACAATTGGCCCAGGCCAGGTCCAGGCCAGGCCTGGGCCGCTGGTGTGAACGCGGCTTTACTTATACTGTAGGGGGCTTCTTTGGCCAAGTTATCCAAAGCAAGAGCCTTTTACCTATGGGATTATGGGTTCATTTCTCTTGTTGCCTGCTCATGTGAAAGGTCAGTCAACTCCCTGCTGAAAGTCGTGGGTTTTCTCGGGGTGCTCTCACTGGTTTCCTCCCACAGGGACAGTTGACAGGGTGGGTTAGGGTAAACACAGATGAGATAATTAATATCACAGTTGTTGTAAAAAGATAAAATAGTTCAGGCAAAGTAATTAGGTAAGCATAATACTTGGTGTAAAGTGCATTTGATCATATTCTATGTAAATAAACTTAGTAAATACAGACACTTCTATTTTTAATTTCAGAAACAATGATAAAGATTCAGACAAAGATTCTGATGATGATGATGACCAGTCCAAGAAACTAAAGAGCCAGTTGCACAGTTGAGTTTTGTAATTTTTGTTATTTCTCTCTGTGTATGAACAAAGGGTCATTATTTTCATCACTTTTCTTAAAGAAATTCCAAACAGGACTTTATTGATTCGATATATTGTCTACATGTACTCATTAGACTTTCCTTTACAACAGCGAGTTAGAGCGAGTTGTGATATTTTTATTCGAATATCGATATTATTGAAATATTGATATTTATCGAAAATATCGATATATTGCGTAAGCCTACCAGGTCTCCCTAAATCAATGTGTTATCATGAAGTATTTTTTTCATATAAAGATAACATAAAAACAATTGTTTAATATGTTGGCAAATTATATGCAAAGCCAAAATTTTAAGTTTTTTAGAAGTCACCAGGAGGGCTACCTTTGCCAAATATCTGGTTGCCTGATGAAAACTCTGGCTGCAATTGGCGACCTGGTGCCCGCTCGTTTCAATCCCTGGGGGAGGGTAAAAGAGGGACTACCTCCTTCCTGAAGTCTCTAAATGATAGCTGAAGAAACTTGTTGTGTTTTTCTTTCAAAACATTTGGGAATTGCCTATTACTGCTAAAATATCAAAATATTGTTGGTTAATGTCAGCATAATTTCTTGTGAACCAATCAAATGTCACCATTCCCAAGATGTCAATTTCATGACGTTAAGAATGTGGTTGCACTCCTGAATGCTTTGTTGATGCATGACACATTTTTTGGGCTAGAGGAAAATACAATATTTGCGGTTTTGGTAATACTGTAACAGTAGTTTATAACGACCATCATTGGAACACAAAGTGTGCATATATTTTTAGCAATGTACTGTATTTTCCTCATTCCTGTCCAGTACAGGCAGTAGGCCAATGGATCTTGCAATCTGACTCAGTTCAGGGTCCACAGGGTACTAAAATTTAATTTCGGATACCAAACTGTGAATGACTTGTATCCCAACAGGATATTACAGAATTTTAAATATTACGATAGTGCTAAATGTCTCCAGTGGTCTCTCTATACTTTGAATATTATGGTTCTGCCTTCTTGAAAATAACCAGCCTTTGATTTCTAACTTGGTGGTCTAGTTGTTGACTGTTGAGTCTCCTGTTGTTATTGTAATTTCTTACTTACAATGAGAGACTTGTAAATAGTATATACTTACTTTGATGGTAAGTTCAGGGATGCCAAAATTACGGGTGCACCGGATTTGGAATTTTCAAATCCGGCCAGAACCGGATTTGGACAAAAATTCCGGCCGGATTTGCTGGATTTGAGATAAATTTTGATAATTCAGTATTCGAAATGGCGATTTATGTTTTTACTATTTTGAGTTAGTGTCAGTTTAGTTTTTTTATTGTGTTTAAACCTTTTTTAAATATATTTTTGTTAATAACTTAATATTTTATAATAATAGAAGTGTTTTTTAAACTTTAAAGCTGCCAAATTGATAGTTTATCCCATTCTTGGTGAATTTTTTAAGGTGAAAACAGAAATTTAAATCCGGCCGCCGGCCAGATGCTGGAAAATTTGTTAAATCCGGTGCACCCCTAGCCAAAATATATTAGAACTTTCAATCCTGGTATAGGCAATTCCAGCTTTTAGTTTATGCGTGCAGGGGACGATGGGAAGTAAGGTATCACATTGGTGATTATGCTGAAAAAATAAAAATGGTGGCCGTGTAAGAACGGAGTGATAGCTCATACTTGTAAATATTGAAATATTTCGGTTGTTTCGGTAGTTTTTATTGAAATTTTTCAGCATAATCAGCAATATGATACCTTACTTCCCATCATCCCCTGCAGGCATAAACTAAAAGCTGGAATTGCCTATTCCCTACTGAAAAATATTTAAAATTGAGCATTTAAAATTCAGACAGACTGACATTGTAGTATATTTTTAGACATTCAATGGTTGCTCTGTGTTTTCAGGTGCAATTGTGATGGAGACACCAAATGTGAAATGGGATGATGTTGCAGGATTAGAATCCGCTAAAGAATCTCTAAAAGAAGCAGTTATATTACCTATTAAATTTCCGCATCTTTTTACAGGTATTGTAACTGTATTGCAACCAAATTAATTATTATTATGGGTTAGAATTAATTATTCTAACCCATGGGGGTTAGTTCACTAGACAAGTGAAATTGTTTAGTGCTTGATAGAATGAGAACGTTGCTATACTGTAGCGTGCATTGTGGCGTGATGGTTTAATGTATTTCACTCTCTGCATTAACCCTTTAAGTGGTAATGGCCCCAGATTTTATGTACTACTTTAAGTGGCAATGCGCTCCATTTTACGCTGTCTAACACCATGCAGATTATTTTACTCTGTCCAACTAGACGATTCTACTTGTCAAGGGGAGAGTGCTGCCACTCAATGGCTTAAATTTCAACCCTATAACTTCATAGATACATAAATAAATCATTTACTTTTAACCTAAATGAATTTACTTTGAATAGCAAATGGTGTGTTTTTAATGGAAGTATACTGAAAATTGATATTATATATACTGGATAGCTCTATCAGTTTTAAATTAATTTTAGACAATATACAGTATAAGTTCTCGTTTCTCTCGTGATCTAAAGTTTTCCCATGATGTTTATCTAAAAGACAGGCAAAAGAAACAAGTGAAAGAGACAATTCATTCTCATATACTGACATAGCACTGTATTTGTCTCCAATGTATATACTGTATTATTTAGACATCTTACCACATAACATGTAAATCTTAATTTTTCTGCAGGCAAACGAACACCATGGCGAGGGATATTGCTGTATGGGGTATGTTAATCACTTCAAAAACAGTTTAAAAACTCTAAAATTAAAAAAATAATCAATATCTGTACTGTACGAACTATACAATATCTTCAAATGAAGATATTTGTTTAAACTTGACTATATTTAGTACATGTATTTGTATTTTAACTATATAGTATGAAGCATTCGCATCTGATCTGTATCTGATACAAATCTGCTGCTTTATATATTACATAAAGGCAGAAAATGATAAAAGAACAGTTCATTTCTTTATTAGCCTCCAGGTACTGGCAAGTCATATTTAGCAAAAGCCGTGGCTACAGAAGCGAACAATTCGACATTTCTCTCAGTTGCATCGTCAGATTTAGTCTCAAAATGGCTTGGAGAGAGCGAGAGGTAAGCTGTACAAGAATGCGTGGTTAATGCTCGCCAACTTCTTTATCTCAATTGTTACAGTGCTGCACTGGAATTACAAAGCCGCAGTTTGAATTTCTGCCCGAGGCCTAAATTTGCATTTTTCGCAACTGCTCCCAGTCAGTTTAAAATTTTGAAAATAAATTTTCGCTTCAACTTTCCATCCACTAAAAGCCCATTTACATTGAAGAGCAATGCTCGCTACTCTATTGTTTCAGTTTGTCTAAATCCACATTATTTAATTGGGTCTGATGCCAGAATTTCTCAGTTCTCAAAATTTTGCAGACGGGTCCGCCTTGCTATTTATCATTTGTAGGCCTGGAGCGAAGGGGATTCGGCGTAATATTACCCGAAGCGATAAATATCATCACTGAGAGGGTAATATTTCGCCGAATTCCCCGAGCGGAGGGTCTATGTATATAAATGATATATGTTATATCGAAAATTAAAAGCTTCCAAGTTAAGAATATAAAACTTGCCACATATATCTTCGTGAAAACGATGTTTTATTTTTTGATTAACCCAAGTGTTAATTTGTCACTTTTATATTTCGAATCACATATCGTTCGGAATATTGATGAAAACATTTTTGAAAATTTGCTTCATAATCTAAAAAAATAGCTTTTTTGAAGTTTGAAAACTTAATAATTCATCACCCCTTAGTATAGTTTGTCGGATCTTGTTTGCGTGATCGCCGCGTGTGGTTTGCGCGAGTCATATCAACTGAGTGATATGATCAAATCACCCCCCGTGTGATATGACTGAAATCACCCGCTACGTCAAATTCGATGACGTAAGGCGTGATTCGATGATGACGATGATGATGATGATGACTTGTTTTCCCATTCAGGGCTGCAAATTACTGTCGGACATCGGACAATGTCCGACTAAATTTGGCAAATGTCCGACTAAATTTGGCAAATGTCCGAGGAAAAGTGATTTTGATCGGACATTGGTCCGATCACACAAAAAAATTGTCACATTATACACATTTTTTTTGCTGTGACAAAATCCGATTGCAAATTCACTCAATTTGTATTTTGCAATTAAATTTACGGGGCATTCTAGCATTTTTACTTAACGTTGCGCCGGAATGGCTATACATACTTGTCTTGTGACGTAATATATGAACAACGAGAGCGAGTGTTTCACCGGGATATCCAAACACGAGAAAACAATGTATGAAAACATGAGCGCGAAGCGCGAGTGTTTTCATACATTGTTTTCGAGTGTTTTGATATCCCGGTGAGACACGAGCTCGAGTTGTTTATATGGCTTCTCAAATGAATCGAGAAATAACAGAATGTTTTCGTTTGCTGATTTGAATAGAATTATTAACCAAGCATAACGTAATTAGGAATTCTATTCAAGTAATTTTGCATGCGTAATTAAGATATTTGATGAAAACACTAGTGACTTTCATCATATTTCATCAAGTATCCAAATGGCATCTTGTGATCAAATAGGTGATTATCATTGGCTGAATTGCTCATGAATTATTAATGAATTTGAGAAATATATATCTTGTGACGTATACATGTCCGACCAAATTCAAGTTATGTCCGACCAAAATTAAAAGTGATCGGACAAATGTCCTGTCAAGTCAAATATCTATTTGCAGCCCTGCCCATTTTTCCACTCGTGTTGATATACTGTACCTGAATATCAACACGGAAAATGTTTTATATTTTTTTATAATGTAGCACGAAGAACTATAAAGAAAGAAATTTTCTCTGTTGACATTGAGTTATGTCAACAAGGCTCTTACAGTAGCCAATCAGCGTTCAGAATTTACAAATGCTGTATTATAAATAGTAATATCACATACTAAAGTGACGGCTTCTGTTTTCCATTTTAGACTAGTCAAGCAACTGTTCACGCTGGCAAGAGATCAAAAACCAGCCATAATATTTATCGATGAAGTGGATTCACTTTGTGCATCACGAAGTGAAAACGAAAGTGAATCGGCGCGAAGGATCAAAACAGAATTTCTGGTTCAAATGCAAGGTATTCACTGTGAAGCTGTTATAAAATATTATAGAATGGAATATAGAAGATTAGAATAGAAAAGATTGTAGAAGATTAGAGTAAAAAAGATTGAAGCTGAATACATTGGAGCTAGTAGAATGGGAAAGAATTTTGTGATGCAAAATAAAAGAGAATACAATGAAATAAAACATGCAGGAAGAAATAGATGAGGACAGAATAAAATGAAAGAAAGAATGGATAGACTGAACAAATGTGGCTAAAGTTGTTTACATTGTTGCTACCCAATTCACAATTTTAGATAACTCACATGCCTAGTGACTATTAATAATTAGTATTTTTGCACAAGTGAACATAACAAATCCTACAATTTGATTTGTCAAATTTGACGTATTAAGCTGTTATATTCACCTACAGGTGAATATAACAAAACCGAAATTTTCAAAATGGCGGCTAGCCGTTTTGAGGACGTTATACTGATAAAGAAATAAGCGAAATTAAAATAAATTCAGTCCCAAAAAACACAAAAATACTAAAACAATTATTCGCCTCCGGCTCGGTGATTATCGGGGAATATTCACCTCGACTTCGTCTCGGCGAATATTCCCCGATAATCACCGAGCCGGAGGCGAATAATTGTTAAATATCAATGCCCAGCATAATTTCCGTATAATAATAGCCATAACAAAGAGAAATTTTCATAAATTTAATTATTTACAGAACTAACGTTTCGTCTTGCACTTAAGACATCTTCAGAGTAAAGAATGATATAAAATTACAAAGTTATATATGCATGAATAAATTACAACTAATTACAGAGTATTGAATTACAAGTAAAATCTAAGGAAGAAAGGGAGCGGAAGTACATAGGGTATGGATTAGAGTAGAAGAAGGGGGACTGAACTGCCTTGTACGTTCAGGGTAGGTTTAAGTTCGTAAATGAGAAGGTTTTCATGGATCATAAGCTCGTCAGAGGAAGGGCAAGATGAAAGAATTTTAAAGTCATCAAGAAGTCGTATGACCAGTGTTGTTAAGGTGTTGAAGAATGCTGGCCAATTTATTCATGCATATATAACTTTGTAATTTTATATCGTTCTTTACTCTGAAGATGTCTCAAGTGCAAGACGAAACGTTAGTTCTGTAAATAATTAAATTTATGAAAATTTCTCTTTGTTATGGTGGCTATTATTATACGGACATTATGCTGGGCATTGATATTTATTATTAGATTACGATTCCCGCCTGGTTCTTCCCTCGTAACTAGTACTATTGTTCTAGTTGACAGACAAATTAAATAGAAAAGAACAAAGGTGACTAAGCATTAGAGTTACGTATGTAGAAGAGTTATTCACTCATGTAAATAATTTTAAAGTTTAGTTACCTTTGCTCTGTTCTGTGCTTCTGTAAACTAGAACAATAAGTGACTATAGGCATGTGAGTTAAGTAATATATGAACAACGAGAGCGAGTGTTTCACCGGGATATCCAAACACGAGAAAACAATGTATGAAACATATGAAACATATATTTCATACATTGTTTTCGAGTGTTTGGATATCCCGGTGAGACACGAGCTCGAGTTGTTTATATGGCTTCTCAAATGAATCGAGACGTAACAGAATGTTTTCGTTTGCTGATTTGAATAGAATTCTTAACCAAGCATAACGTAATTAGGAATTCTATTCAAGTAATTTTGCATGCGTAATTAAGATATTTGATGAAAACACTAGTGACTTTCATCAAGTTTCACCGGGTTATCCAAATGGCATCTTGTGATCAAATAGGTGATTATCATTGGCTGGATTGCTCATGAATTATTAATGAATTTGAGAACTGCATGTCATGCCTGTATATTTAGTATTTTTGCAGGTAGCCAAAACAATTTGCAGTTAGCCCTACGTGGACCAAACTTGCCCGCTTCGCTTGAAGCTTGCAAATTGCGACAGGGGACCGGGCATCGAAGAAATTTTTTTGAGTTATGTTTCATATTGTCAAAAATTAAGGGTCCGTTAATTTGCTCAAACCCGATTGCTCGAAGAGTTTCATATATCAAGCCGACAAGACTGACGGCTAATGAGTACAATTCTGCCACAGAACAGGAAATTAGTCGAACCACACAACGCTTGTTTAATTAAATATTTGTATTTTTACTATTTTATAAGAACTTGAAATGAAATTGAAAATCATCAAATTGATCAAAATACAAGTATACGATTATGAGTTCAATAATCAATTTACAAGGTGACCTTCTGACTAAGGATTGCAGTTAGCTTCAGGCGCTTGAAGGTAGCGTCGCAACAACCTCGCAAGCCAGGGTCTTTTACCTGCGCTCGGGCTCCGGCGAAGACCCTGGTTCCCTCTGGTCACGTGAACCCCCAGATTGTAGGGGTAATTCGAATTGCCGCCTCTTTGCCACGTAGGGAGGAGTGGTAGGGGGAATTCAAGAGCGAAAACTAAAAATCAATAACTATGCCTATGGAAAATACGGCCATTTACGCTCTGTATTAACTCATGTTTTGGGTTTTGTCGGTTTTTGTGTTATCTTTTATGAAATATGTCACCGCTTGAAAGCTTTTTACACCTATTTGATATAATTTGCATGGCTGGAGGTCTGTTTTACACCTGGACGTGGAGCCATTATTTATCAACGCAAAGAAAATAAAGCATTAAAGGTCAAATGCACACTTATACAAAGTCAAAGTACAGTATTCAGTAGCTCTCAAGCTATGGCACAGCGAAAGGAAACTCCAAAAATGATTTATCCGAAGTCCGCTTTGTTTTCGGAATGCAAGTGTCACCTTTGTGGTAGTATTATCGGCAAGAAGTATTGCAACCGAACCTATTCTTAGAGGTAGCTGTATAGCGAAATAAAAACCTGCTTCGTATCGCAGAATTTGTGAATTGTGAAATTCTTGCGTGTGATGTCCGATCGGATGACGGATTTTCTAATCTTCCTAAATTAACATTAAATTAAAAGAATGGAGGCCAAAAAAAAACACCCAAGACAGTGAAGTCAATCGAATGTTTATTTAATATTAAAGCAGAGCGACTGGAGGGATATCTGCAGAAATGATAAACAACTTCGACATAGCTGTAGGAATTAAGTCAAGAAGGCATCCTCTCACAAGCACAAAGTTCAGAGAAAATGTACATGGTGATGTTATTTTATCTCATCTCTTGGAATTGAAACCATTTGCAATACATGATCACTTTCATGAAAATTTCTTCACAGATATATCATCAGATACATTAGCAACATTATAGACAAATTGTCGCTGCATTTGATGACTAGCTAAACAATCGCAAGAGGAACATTCACCAAGCACTTATACCAGTGGACACATCAGAAGATAAGGAGGAATTATTATGACTGTGAATACTGTAACACTTGCACGAATAAGCAACAATGATTTGTATGGCTGTAGCACAGGCTACAAAACTATACCTTAGCTTGAAAGGATTAATAGATGCACAAATCAAATGGCACTTGTTCTATACTATAATGCAGCTATTCCAATGATTAAGGTTAGTGTCACAGACAATAGTTAAATGTACAATTGAACGCTAAAAAAGATACTATTTTAACACATCCATAGCCTCATGGGAATACAAATTAAATTGGTAGTCATAATGTATTTGAGGTGTTAAACTTATTGAAAACTATCATTATCCATTAATCATTTAGCACTCATATTATTGTACATCTAACTATTGTCTGTGTCAACTTTAATTGAAATAGCTATATGGTTACAGTATACTGTATATATACATATATATATAATATTCAATTTAGAATTTTGTTCTGGCACTGCTGTATGGGTTTTTGTACTGTCCATGAAGTAAATTGAGTTTATATGATTTTAATTTGTGATTAATTGTGTATTCATTTGGTACCAAGCAAAGTGAAGAATATTTCACAGGCCCAAAATATTTGTCTAATCAGGTAAAATCATTCCCTTTCCATATATAAACTACACTCAACACATAAACATTGTGTTTTGCATACAGTACAGCATAAATTGGGTTGCAAATGTCCCTCAAGGCATCAATATCAGCCGTGCTTGTATCTGATGCTTTTTCGTAAAAGATCTCATCATATCTTTCGGTCAGAATTTGCAACCAACTCAAAGCAAACATGCAAGCCAAGTGATTTTTTTATGTGCCTTCGGTCAAGTTTATATGCTGTAGCAGTCATGCAATAACGACTGGTACGTTATAAAATACAACACACGACTCAGACTACGTTTGGCATCATAGTGAACAAAATTGAGATAACAATATAATGGATGATTGAAAAATAACACTGATGTAGAATTAGTTTTGTCTTTTGGTTAAGTTCAGCTACATCGCAATCAATCTCTTGGTTGTCACATTTTAATGGCTGCTGAAAAACATTTATTGTATTTATACATGTAAAACTTTTTAAATTCATATCTATCTAAACGATCTATCTCTGATACTCAGTTTATCGCACATAATTTTCGAGCTGGATTGATTATCAAAGGCGCGTTCGCGATATATTGTAACGAGCAGCATTACTCATTTACACAAACGCCACGAGTTGGACGTTCTTCTAACGCTCTTTTAGCGAAAAGCATCAAAGGCAAAAGCTGGTAAATCAGCGACTCGCCATATTACCGATTGGAAAAATTGCCAGTATATATATACACGCCAAAGGACAGCTTTTCCAAGCAAATAACCTGCTTGGGCTTCAAAATAGTGTTTGCATACAAAATAATAGAAAACTGCAAACAAATAAGAAAAATAATACATTTTGAATGTTTTTGCATATTACAATTGAAGTCGCTTTCTCATAGCTTTTCTACAGTCACTCCTCGGCTAGGCTTGCAAACACAACATTTAACCGGAAGTTGTAAATTACAACATATCACATTTCAACCACCCTCCCCTAGGACTTCTTGTTGTCATAATTTTTAGGAGGTCACGTGACCAGAGGGAACCAGGGTCTTCGCCGGAGCCCGAGCGCAGGTAAAAGACCCTGGCTTGCGAGGTTGCGGTACTGTATGTTTCTATGCTGCTACTGATTCTATGTTTCTATGATTCTATGTTTCTATCATTCTATGCTTCTATTGCTTCCATGTTTGTATGCCTGTATGTTCATATCCTTCTATGTTTCTGATCTACGAAGTGACAATATACGCGCTGGTCATATTCAGCAAATTTTCTCCCAGTACCGCAGGCTCGCATTCTCAGCGGACTTGTGCTGAAAAATTGAAACTTGCATTTTGCACAGAACTGTCCACTTAAGAGTGGGAGAAATTTTTCTAAATTTGACCAACGTGATGGGCATCAAAATATTGTTCAGGCCTGTTATCAACAACATTGTTACAGGCTAGCCGGCTAAGCGTTTTTTGCTGTATATAGGCTATTAAAGTACTGTAGGTAATACAAGTAAGCGTTAATACTTTATGTAGTCGGTCACTGAAAAGCCCCAATGGGGAGTGAGCTGAATAATGTACATATGTAATGTATCTTTGAAAACCCCAGCAACTTAACGCACCAAACAGTGTCTTGTTTATTGTTGCAAGCATTTAAGTGATATATACCGGGTGGCGCAAAAAAAAGTTAACCTGTTTGATTTATTTTAACTTAAAAACTAAAAGAGCTACTACACCTAAACTACGTGCATTCAGTATTGTCTAACTTAAATTTTGATATACGCCCTGTGCATTTTCGTGCAATATTGACCGAGAGAGCTGCGTTTAAACTTGAGTAACCATTTTTGAAAGTGTCGAGAATTAGCCAAAAACGGCCTATCAAATATTTAATACAGCGCGAAATAACCTGTGCTTAGACGCACTATAGAGTATAGTCAGAAAGTACACGTAACACGTTCGTTGTCAGAGACCTGCCCAACGCCGCCGGTATAACCTCACGAGCATTATTTACCCTTGCATATTCTAAACATATCGAAACTCTTTGGTCCTTCGTTAAACGAGGCGTATTTATAAAAAAACACTTGACGTTTCTTTCTTGGAACATTAGAATTTGATTCCCCAGGGTCATTGAATATTTAGGATAAATCTTTTAATCAAAATCACTTCATAATTTAATTTTCTTGCATTTCCAAAGACCTTAAACAAAAATAAAAGAGCACATCTATCCAATAAACATTTTTAATTTTGAACTTCACTTCATTGAAACGAATATTTACGATAAAATGGTAACGGTTATCAAATTAGTTTAACGGCCTGTTAAAGGCACAGTTCAGCCTTTTGAACGATGGTTTTTAAGGCGCATTTGAGCCCTTCTAATTGAAAAAACTAACTAGGAAAATCAATTAAGCATAATTCAAAATCAGTAAACTCGATGTTTTTAACAATATAAATGTTTTAAAATGTTAAAAACATTAAGTTTGGTGATCTTGAATTATGCTTAATTGATTTTCCTAGTTAGTTTTTTCAATTAAAAGGGCTGAAATGCGCCTTAAAAACCATCATTCAACAGGCTGAACTGTGCCTTTAAACTAATTTGATAACCGTTACCATTTTATCGTAAATATTCGTTTCAATGAAGTGAAGTTCAAAATTAAAAATGTTTATTGGATAGATGTGCTCTTTTATTTTTGTTTAAGGTCTTTGGAAATGCAAGAAAATTAAATTATGAAGTGATTTTGATTAAAAGATTTATCCTAAATATTCAATGACCCTGGGGAATCAAATTCTAATGTTCCAAGAAAGAAACGTCAAGTGTTTTTTTATAAATACGCCTCGTTTAACGAAGGACCAAAGAGTTTCGATATGTTTAGAATATGCAAGGGTAAATAATGCTCGTGAGGTTATACCGGCGGCGTTGGGCAGGTCTCTGACAACGAACGTGTCACGTGTACTTTCTGACTATACTCTATAGTGCGTCTACGCACAGGTTATTGCGCGCTGTATTAAATATTTGATAGGCCGTTTTTGGCTAATTCTCGACACTTTCAAAAATGGTTACTCAAGTTTAAACGCAGCTCTCTCGGTCAATATTGCACGAAATTGCACAGGGCGTATGTCAACATTTAAGTTAGACAATACTGAACGCAATGCACGTAGTTTAGGTGTAATAGCTCTTTTAGTTTTTAAGTTAAAGTAAATCAAACAGGTTAACTTTTTTTGCGCCACCCGGTATATATATATATATATATATATATATATATATATATATATATATATATATATATATATATATATATATATATATATATATATATATATATATATATTTATGTACTATTTAAAGCACGCGTAGGAGTGTTTTATCACATATAAAACACGACGCGTAGCGGAGTGTTTTATATGTGATAAAACACGACTACGAGTGCTTTAAATAGCTTAAAAAACGACCCATCTTCTGATGAGTACATTAGCGAAGTAATTTTTAAAATAAACTTTGTCTAAACCGAGAAAATCAAAGCTAAAGTTTATGTAAATTAACATGATTTTATATCACATATAAAACCACGACACGCTTATGATTTTTCTTTGTGTTTTGCTCCTGAATTATTAATGAGTTATATATATATATATATATATATATATATATATATATATATATATATATATATATATATATATATATATATATATATATATATATATATATATATATATATATATATATAGCTTAAGATTTTGGTTTACGAAACACAAACAGTGCTCAATACCATATAGATAGAGCGTAATATAGCTTTTCGTTTTACCTCAAAGAACCACAACAGTCTGTTTCATCTGATGATTCCTATACGGATGAAACAGACTGTTGTGGTTCTTTGAGGTAAAACGAAAAACTATATATATTTTGTTACTTTTTATTCCAATCATGACTGTAACTTGTTGAAGAATTTTGGACATCTACTGATCTACAATAGTTGGAAGGGTTTCGTAGATGGAATACAATACAATGGAAATTCCGAAGAAATTCATATTTTTAATTCAACGTTTTGACTACTGTTGAGTCATCATCAGAAATTGGCTAATTCCTGATGATGACTCAACAGTAGTCGAAACGTTGAATTAAAAATATGAATTTCTTCGGAATTTCCATTGTATTGTATTTTATTAGAATACTCAGTGGTTGCCATAAATTTCATAGATGGACTACATTAAATTAATCCATGAATCAACTAGAATTTCATGTGAACTGTGTTCCTTTATATTGCGTTAGTAGTAGGTTAACCAAGATTTAGGGTTGGAAACGAGCAGCTTAGTAATGTCAGCCTGAGCGATGCCTTTATGCAGCATTTTTGGTACAGTGTAATGAAGGATATGTGAAAACCCTACTCCACCAAACTTGGTTAGATTATGGCATGTGTGTATGTCATGGGATATCAATATTTTGTCTATATAACCTTCATCAATCAAATGGCGAATCTTCTCAATGCGTTGAGCGTCCGACATATATGGCGTCATATAAGAAATTTCGGACCCGAAAAAGTCATATTCTAAGTAAACGCCCGTGTCGGCAAGTTCAATCAGGAGCTCATTTCTCGGAATTGTGCGATCTAGATGAGCCATGACGCTGCGTCTGGCGTCGCCGCCGGCTTCTTGGAACAGGCGCAAGACTTCGAAAGGTGCTTGTGGGTCCGCGCCGGGATGGATCATAACGGGGGTCTGGGTTTGAGTTTGCGATTCGGCAGCGGCCTGGAGATTACGTTTCTCAACATCTGTTAATGGCCACGAAGTTCCGATTTCACCGATAATGCCAGGTTTGACTTCAGTGTCTTTAATGCCATCGTTGATCTCGGATATCATGTTCTGTAATAAAAATATTAAAAAACTCATTAATAATTCATGAAGAAAACACAAAAGAAATCATGGGCGTGAAGGAGTCTGTATATGTGATACAGACTCATGTTGATTTACATAAACTTTAACTTTGATTTTCTCGGCTTAGACAACGTTTAATTTTAAAATTACTTCGCCAAAGAACTCATAAGATGAGTCGTTTTTTAAGCCATTTACAACATTCGCGTTCGTGTTGTATCGGATATACAAACTCTCGCCTTCGGCTCGAGTTTGTATATCCGATACAACACGGCCGCTCATGTTGTAAATATGTGCCAATATGTAAACATGCCAAATTGTAAACAAAAACATGGCTAGGTACGTAAAAAACAAAAAAAAAACACACTAGACGGGTAGTTTAATAAAAAGTTTTCTCACATTTAAATCTAAAAAGAAACAGAATTTAAATTTAAAAAGTTTATTTAAATTTAAAATTTTAGACCGGGAGGCGTGTGAACATTTCTTGAAAAATTGTCGAATACCGAACTTAAGACACAAGAGTTAAGCAAACTATTAAATAGTTAAGCATTTGTACACGCTTAAATTGTAGAGTAAATCATTACCTTTAATTAAATATGATCAACGCAAAAATTATACATGCTACGCAAAAAAGGTATTGAGAAAAACGCGGATCATATGAATCTACGAAAATATCTTTGTATGGTTCAGTTAAAGAATGTTTCATACAATAAATAATTTATCGACAGTCGCCTTTAGTTCATTTTCTTGTATATTACGACTTCTTGCACATGTAGACTGTAATTATTTCTAGTTTTTAGGTTGTCACATTCATTATTCCGCGTGCATTTTCACAGAAAAGGCAAAACATCGAAGTCGTTTCACTCCGCCATTAGGGTGGGGGGTCGATACCTCCGATTAGGGGTTAGAGTGGGGGGGGAGGGTGAGGGACAGGTTATCAATGTGTCTGTACGATGATATACATCGTATATAACAGTTCACATGTATGATGATATACATAATCGATTTTAGTTTGACAGTATGGTGATATACATCATAAAAATGAATGGCCCATGTTGAGTTAGCAATAAACCAATAGACCTTATGCATAATGACGTCACAAGGCTTGATGCCCGCGAGGAATGCTGGTCTCAGTAGTCATCGCCCGGGAAAATTAAACAATTCAAAATGGCCACTATCGAAATTTTCCCGGGCAATGACTACTAAGACCAGCATTCCTCGCGGGCATCAAGCCATGTGACGTCATTATGCATAAGGTCTATTCGGAATTTCCACTGCGTATCCAAATGGCGCGTTATGAGTCACGATAAATTGCAGTTCAACCATAATAACATGTAGCTAGCAGCTGAGAAGAATTAGAATACGCATATCAAAGTATTCAACAATTTAATCATCATTTGAATATGCAAAAAGTTGCCCAAAGGCTTTGCCTTCCGCACGGTTGATTCGCTTTAATAGAAAGTACAAATATATTATTTATTGATTACATGGTACAGTAGGTATAGTATGCCTTTCAAACAGTACTTTTTACATTTAAGCTACCTTCAATTTAAATGAACATTGTGTATTTTATTTGATCGGTCAAAATGTCCGTGCAGAACAAAATTGATCGGCCATTTGCAACCAACAAGAGGGAAGAGCCTGAGAACGAGGTTGGGCCATTCGGTGTTTTTGTTCGGCAAATAACCGATTGCCGCGGCGTTTAATCAAGTAAATACGGTACATGAACATATCAATTTATATCAACGATTGCAACATGGTGTGACATGATCTAGCCATTTATGGCTATAACCGGAAACTATACTCGGAAATTTGTGGAATGGTCAAATTATTTATGGACATAAACATAAACGAAATCAGTGAATCTCCACACTCAAAGACAATTGCATATAGCGTCTACTTCCTTAGATGAAAAAATTCTTGTTCTATAACTGCCCCCTTCTGGCCTTCTATGGTTCTACCCCCCCCCAATACCTGAGTGATCTTTTCAACTGACAATGACTTCACCTCCCCCGGGACTGTCTCGTCGACGAAATACCCGGTACCACAGACCATATGTACCCCGGATGACTTCGATATATTCACCATTTTTATAATATCTCGATTTATTCCGATTACAGTATTTTCTACCACGGTCGCTCCCCCAGCTTGTTTGAAAATCTTTAGATCTGCGATCACCGCTTCTTGCTCATTGTACATGCTGACATTCACTTTACTTTTATAAAGATTATGTCGTAACCAGTTGAGGTTTTGCATCGTAATAGGAGCGGTGTATCTCTCCCTTTCTTCGTCAGTTGCTGGTAGTGTACAGAAGTAACTGCAGTCCATAACTACATGTTCATGCGGCAAAGTTAGACCCAAATCCTCGGCGTTTATAGCTCCCAAGACGGTTTCAACTCGAGACTTTGCCATGTATATGATATATGATAATTCTCACAAACCAGATGCACTGTGCAAGAGTCAAATTACATTCACGTTCCAGTGTATTATATGCAGTGCCGAGTGCCAAATAATAATATGAATTTTCTTTGAATAGGTAATTCCAGCTGGAGACTAAATTTTGATCTAGGCAAGAAAAGAAAAATCCATCACCACAGCTAGAAAGAACTTGTTAAAATTAGTCAAATTGCAAGGTTTGGCCGCGAAATGTTGTAAAATGCGGAAAATATAGCCCTGCGAAATTTGCAAATTTTGTATTAATTTGTATACGCGCGGAAATATGCACCACATTTGGGCCGAAAGTGGTGCATTTTCCCGTGCGTAATACAAATTTATAGTATAAAAAAACGGCAAACTTAGTGGGAAAAGTCGAGAAAGATGAAAGAAAACCGGGAATGTATGAAAGATGAACAGTTGGAAATATGTTAGGTCCGGAAAATGCTTTGCCTCTGCTCAAGTCAGACACATATATTTTTAGTTCTTAAAGTCTAATATATAGCCTAAAGATGGTTCGCTACAGATTGTTTTAAAGATGGTTCGCTACAGATTGTTTAGACTTTAGCGACACTGAAATATCAGTGGTGCCTAAATTACTTTGAATTTGTACTCGTGTAAAAGTAGAAGTAATTAACAATAAAACGACTCAGTGAGTAAGAGTAAAAAGTACTGGAGGTAAAATTAACGTACTTAAGTAAAAAGTACAAAGTATCCTTAACGAAGTAAAAGTAAAAGTACTATTGTCTATAGTGGGGGGGGGGGACTTCTCCAATGGATTGACACCCAGTGCTCTCACAATCAAATTTTCGAATTCCTTAGAAAAAGCTCGAAAATTCCTCAGATTTCCTTAAAATTCCTTAAATTTGGTAAGGGGCCATTCACGAAGGATCTCTGAGCTGAGGGGGGGGAGGGGGGTTTGGAATATCAGGACAAACTCGGACATAGGGGG